CAAGATATCCCAAAGTACTGCATTCAACACAGAATTGCCGTAGAAGTCGAATCGAGTTCTGTAAACAAGGGATTTTCCAAGGGAAAATCGTCGAACTCACTTTTGTGATTGAATCATCAATTCAAGCCAAACATTAATCAAATAGGAACAATTTCACTAAAAGTATACCTAGACACAGGAGAACTATTGTCGTGAAAGTGTTGTACAATCGATTACGAATTTAGATTGCAGAGAGTTTGTTCTGAGCGCTAAAGGCACTCACATTTTGCTTTATTCTAACACAAAGAAATAAATGAGACCAACTCACTCCATGGGAACAGGGTAGCTAATGTCAATATACAGGTGCTGTTAGCCACACATCGATTTTGTTGTAGTGGGTGATGACTACAGGTGCCTCAAAACTTACCACCATGGTGAAATCAAATCCATCTGCCTTTTTGGTAGATTTTCACTATTTAGAACCATCCGGCATGTAGTTTTTATTTGACATTTTGCTTCTTTGATATCTTTAGAAGCGTACTCTGCAAAAAAAGCGGGATGCTCGATGTTTTCTTGATGTCAACAATTTGTTGCTTTGATTATTTGGTACAAAATCCACGAAAATCTACGAAGGCGCGAAAAAAATGTGAAAGTACTTTGTTAGACCGATTGTGTGACGTGGCCCACTAGTTCTACGTATTCTACTTTTTGTTTCAGAATTTTGATTTGGACTGGAGCGGCCTGAAATGGCAGGCTTGCTGGCAATGTCCTCAGAGATGTCGCGGAGGTTGTCTAGCGGAGATGACAGAGTTGACATGCCGGTGACAAACTCTGCGCAATGCAAAGCTTGGGCTTCGTTGAAAACGAGCCTGCCAAAACATTCATTTCCATTTGTGGAGGCTCCGTCCAAATGGACAAACTTCGTCAGACACCTTTGTCCAATGGACGAACTTTGTCGGACCGACGAAACCTCTATAATTTAAAAACTAGCCAATATTATTTCAAACCTATTGATCGGATGAATCCTACATCCAGCCAGTCGTCTGTTGCAATTTGTGTTGACGTCATTTGTTCCAAAGATCTACTGTAGCTGCACTCAATTGACGACCGTGGATCTCCCTATCTAACTCCTTTATTGTCTGTAGAGTGCAATTTGGCCCGCCAAAGACATCTCTGGCAACTTCTGCATGCTGTGGACATGCCATATATCACCCACCTGCCATGATTATTTTGCTTTGAGATCTGTATCATACACGTATCTGGTACCGGTATTTTGTGACCCCTTTTTTTGTCCTTGTGTGACACAGACATTAATTGTTTGACCAGCTTGCGTCCAATTTTTTTGCTGCCCCGATTAAAAAAAATGCAGCATCCAGGTTGCGAGCTCTTCGTCCATTTTGTCGCCTTCGTCCATTTGGACAAAAATAGTCGACCATTTCCACAAAGGCTCAACGGTTCGGAAGCAGATGAAAAAGGGCACGCACGCCCAGTAAATTTGAGAACAAACAAGCGCCAGTTGGCCAAAGTAGGAAATAAATTAAAGACTATGCTATTCCCATCATTTTGTCCGAACGACATCCTCGAAAAGCTGCCTCGGCGCGACTTGGTCCAGTTACAGGCCGCTCCTGTACTTTCTCAGTTTTCACATCCACACCCACAAAGTATTAACAGAAAATACAAGTACAATAATAAACACCGCACGCACTTGAAACCATACCGCTAGCAGCATTGTTCAAATTTGAGGATGTCTGCTTCTATTGAGCAAGAAATCGAGCAAGTAGGCAAAGCTATTGCAAGGGTGGAAAGAGAAATTGAGGAGATCAACAAAATTCTCAAGAGCCCCACCATTTCGGATGACAACAAAGCTTACTATCAGCAAGAGGAAAGCCAGATTTGGCAAAAGAAAAGCCAGCTTTGGCAAAAGAAAGACAGGTTTCTTCAAGAGAAAGCCGATATTCGGCAAAAGAAGTTGTTGTTGATTGAACGCACTCCAGTGCCAAAAGCTGCATTTGATATGGCAAGGATGGCACAAGGTAAGCATGATAATCGTTTCACTACATTTTGTTTCATGTCTCTTCCCTCCGTTGATATTGTCCTTACCCACATAATGCATCTACTGCAATGTTCTGCATCATTACCTTTTCAATTTCCAATTGGCTGCACAAGCTTTCCGCGTTGTACTGAGACAAGAACTGGCAAATCTCCGAGACAAAGATAACACAGTTGCGTTCTCAAACGTGAATTCCACAGTATTTAATGAGGTCATGACACACTTGGACATTGAGCAAATCGCAGCACCATGGCAGAACAGGCCACCTTGTCCTCAGTGCGACACGATTTACCAATGGAGCGAGGACGAAGAAGATAGCTCAATGAATCGCAAGAGATATATGGCATATCTTAAGGGGCTGGGATTTCCGGACTCAGTTAATATATTTGAAGCTTCAAAAGCAAAGGAGCTCTTGGAAACAGACTTGCTGCCTTCACCCGGGCCAAGAATGAAAGGAAACATTGACGTTGTTGTTCTTGCCGGCCACATTCCGAACATCTCAACTGCGAAACACAGTATTTTGATGGGTATTGAATTTAAAAAGGATAAAAACCAAGGACACAACAAAATACAAAGGCAGGCTGTGCTGCAGCATTGTGCTGCGTCCAGATTGAACCACAAGACTGGAGTTCTAACACTAATGATTGCTGGCACTTTTATTGGTTTAAGCAAGAATCCAGGCATCTCATGAAACTCGAGGCATCACATTCGGAAGCAGTATACCTTATCAAGCATTTTCTGGATGATCCAAGTGAAAATGATTCTTTCCTGGAATCCTTCCTGACACGAGCACCATGGGATAGTATTATTGGCAGTGTTGAGAGCATCCAAGAAGAAAAGCGATTGGCCTTTGCTCGTTCTAATCTTGATTTTATGGATGAAGATGAGCGGCGAGATGAAATCTTCCGGATGATGCTGCAGAATCCCAATAATCGTTACCTGTCTCCCAAAATGGAAGTTGGTGATTGTTCTGGGGATGGGCCGCCAAAAGACATTACCCTTGGTTGAGAATGCGGGCACATTGTTTTATATGAAAAAGTCACTTTTTGGAATCTCTTGGAACTGGGTAGTTTGTGAGAAACAGGTGTGGCGTTAAAAAGGACACAACTTGAAGCCCTAAAACAAACACAAAAGTAATCAGGCATAAAAACTCTCATCAATGCTACTACAATAAAACTAAATTTACAAAGTCTGCATCGCATCCCACCTTAGTTTGCCTTCTGCGCCCTGCCATGTCAAATATTGCAAAGGTGGACAAGGCTGCCAAAACTCATCTTTTCTTTACATATTCAGTACCTACGCTTTCCTCATGATCACCCTATTTCATCCAATTAGCATGCAGCAACACCCAAAATTCCATCATGTGATTCACCAAGAACTAAAGTTTCCAAACTGAGTATTTGTTTTGACTTTGTTCTCATTCATCTTACTAGGAGATGGTGCTGATGGAATAATGACATCAATGTCTGCTGATACCTCTTTTGATTGAATCATTGTTTGAGACAAGTATTTCCCAATCGTTGCAGTGCTATTTCTGCTCTCAATACTTCCGCCACGTCTATCCAAAGGCAAAGCAGTCTTGCCCAATGACCTGGCTTGCTTTTGGCGCTCTGCTTCCGTTCTTCCTTCTCTGAATCCTTGTAAGCGTGCAAACTCCTTGTCCTCCGCCTCCTTGGCAAGGTCTACCAGAACCACTGTTGTTAGAATCTTGATTGGATCAACAGGTCTGTCCTTCTTGTCCGTTGCAGCCTTCTCCATTTCTTTCAAGACTTTTTTGCCGTCTACAACTTGGCCAAAGACAGAATGCTTTCGGTCCAAATGCGGTGTTGCTTTGAAAGTAATCTTTTGGAAAATGAAGGAGCGTTTTGGATGAATGAATAACAAGAATCGATTGAGCATCATCAAATTTTTGAATCCTTTCTTTTCATCACATCATTGCACTTACAAAAAACTGGCGCTTATTGGTATTGGGACCACCGTTAGCACTACTTAAGACTCCCCTTTGATCATGTTTCAAACGGTCGTCAAATTCATCAGCAAAAGTCCCACCCCAAAGACTCATGTCGTCCTTATTTCCTTCCCCAGAGAGTCTTTGTCCTCCCTGGATCATGAAAGAAGAAATAGACCGGTGGAAAGCAGTCCCGTCGTATTTTTTGGCTTGGCATAAACCCAAAAAGTTGGAACACGTCCTATATGCGTTGGAGTCAAAGCAGCACCCCCCAAGCAACATTGTGAGCCTTGAACTCTGTCGAAAGTACTCCGTATGCAAACAAATGGTACTACACATACATAGAATCCAAGTACAGGATTCACTAACCTTGGGGCAATATCACAATGCAATTCCAATAATAGATCCCCCATGCTTGTAATCATGCGCACTTATCCCTTTTCCTTCTGCGCTCGCATCAATTGAAACTGAGCCTGCAAAACCTCTTCTTGTGTTGTTTCCCGTGTAGTATTTTCATTTTGAACATCCATAGCGGTACTTGTAAAGGATCCAGAAGCCTTCCCAGACGTGTATTGCACATTGGTGATATCGTCGGAGAAGATTTTGAGTTTTTTCAATGCCTGATCGCTACCACAATTATTTTCCGTGTCGTTGGACGTCGATCCAGGAGTCGGTCGCTTCTTTTTATCTTGTTTGAGCTTTTCCATGATGCGGGTTGCTGTGACGGAGTGATGTACGTTCAATTGTTGCTTTTTTTGATCCAGCAATTGAGAGTTCTGTATGTGCCAAAATCCTCGAATATCACGCTGCTTCTGAATATCCTCGTTTTGTGGATCATTGAGAATTAGGACATCCCTCTTCGGAGAGAACTTCTTCCCCGTTCTCAAGTCATACCAATTTTTTGCCTCGACATATAGTTCCTTGTAGGCTTCAAAGGAATATACATATGCCTCGACGTTATTGTTCTTGCTGCTGGTTTGGTCAACAATTGCGACAATTTTAGTATGATTGGCAAAGAGTTTTGTCAAAACTGGACACTGCCTTCAATTCTCGTCGTCCTTATCCATACGAAGGGAAACGACATCCCCAGTTGTCAGCGGTTCTCCAGTGACAGGATCCTTCTTGTGTTTCATCACGAATTGCATAAGAGCGACACTATCAAATAAGATTCAATCCAGATCCAGATTGCAACTGAGCATTTTGCCTATGTTCTCGCCCAGATTGATATTACTTTTCCTTCTGTCGCTTTACCATTGCGTCATATAATAAACTGAATGAGAAAGACGGTGTTATTATATTTGGAATTATGAACCGATCGGGGGTCAGATATCCCCATATGGGGATATCCCCCCCAAAATGCAACTTCAAGTAATCAGATGACTATGATAAAAGATGAATTAACCAACGCAGCTTTGAAGATATATTCTCTTAGTTATCGGCTAGGTTGTCCTAGAATATTGTTGGCAATCATGATGACTCTGGCCGAAGCTGTGAAATTTTTTTTGACCAAAACGACCAAAATTCCATGCCTCGCCAAAAATCCGGCACGTCCGAGCGATGACCATTGGTCGTCAACAACAACCTCTGCAAGCTCCAAATCTGCACCAATACAACCCAACAGAGAACCAAACAAGTTGCCCAAATGGAGTGGTTGTGTGAAGATTGGATGAACAAGAAATTTCCAAAATGCCCATGCAAATCCAAAACTTGCTGCCAAACTTCGAAGCAACAATTCAAGCCAGCATTCGACGGCCAGAATGAGGCAACAATCAAACTGTGAGAGCTTCGAATCCCTTCTATATTGCCTATGAGCTGAGAACCACTCGTTTTCCACGTTATCAGATGAGATTGTTGAGCTTTCAGCTCAAACACTACAACATTGTTGAGAAAACGTTTCCAGTACTTTATCCATGACAATTGTGAATCCACTACAGGGTGTTGGATGCATTGAAAATTTACATGGATTAGTGATGAAATGTCCAAGAATGATCTATACTTTGGATTTGGTTGGTACATAATTCATGAACTGGATTGATGAGTTGTGTGATGTGGACATTAAACGAAGATCTGTCTTGGTTCTTGAATGCAATGGGCAATCATTTGGCATTCCAGATTTGGAGGAGCTATGAAAGGGCTATGAGGTACCCATTTTCTCCAGAATTGACTAATTAGGATAGATGTTGATAGACTTTGAAGAGAATCTACAATAGAAAGCAAGGAACTGCCTATAAGTATGTTGTTGCTAAAACAAATTTGACCAAATAAGCATCAAGTCTTTGAGGATGAGCGGGCACCTGTCAAAATCCTGAAAACACTCACCAATAGATTTCGCAAATGATAAATATCTACACAAGGACTTAGATGGGATGGACCTTTGACAGGAGCATCTTGTTGGATTGACTTCAACGCCCAACTCGCCAAAGCTGAAAGCCTGCAAGCCAGTACACATTATGACCGCAGATGTAGACTATACCCTTGGTAGAAAATGCAATAGCGCTTTAGGGTTGCAATAGATTCTAATACAGTAGATAGACTGACTGTTGGCCCCACATACAATGATCAAATGGCTGAAGATGACCGTCTTAATATGAAGCGTCTGCTGTCTCCAACCGTCAGTTCCATAGACTGCTAGACTTGGACCCATCCTCGATATTGAATATTTCTACTAAGTTGATATCCCTATTCGTTGTCCCGGTACATTGTATGGCAAAGGTGCCTCAAACCTCTTGGAGATGAAGCAACATCTGGCCGAGCACTATTAAAATCGGATTGTCTAAAAGCGGGAGCAATCGGCAGTAGTCCCAGATGATACCATCCTTCCAACCCACTATCTTGGGAGACTAGTTATTCATGCTGAGCTGGGGAAGTGTGCCCTGTGCTTGAATCTGCATCAACCGCACAAAATATCAACTGTTTGTGTCGGATGCAAATTGTCCCAAACGCCATACATTTCCATTCTGCTGCATAAAGGGGAGGAGCGGTAGGGTTTCATTTCCCAGTAAGAGCTCTAGGTACAGAAAAATATCCATAGTGAACTAAGAAACCAACCACATTGTCTCATTTGCAAGGAGTGCCAACAAGAGGCCCCTTGATGCTCGAGTTTGATTTGTTTGATATGACGACATCACTTTTGCAAAGTCAAAAATGGGTCCATCAGAAGCTCAAATCCCAAGATCAGCGTTGTCTAGGTTAAATTGGATAGTTGAGATCTAAGTTGTCGCTTCAGTTTGGTTGTGTAGGAAGGCCGCGGCTTGAACAAGGCGCTTTCGTCTTGACAAGTATGAAGTTATAATTATAATATCCCCATATAGCGATATCCCCCCAACGCCCGATCGGTTAAAATATATCCCTTAACGCTTTAGATGATATAATATATCGGATAAAAAAATTCCACACATTTCACGCAATAACTTCTGCCACGTACAAATACACCTTTTACTGTCATAAATAAGTTTATTGCCAGTGAAATAAGGAACTCATCGGTATGCTACATGTTATATCTCAGCCCATCACAGAAACAAGGATGAACCTCCAAAGTCGGACAGACCCATTTGCCCCAAAATCGACACCAACACAAAACTGTCTCGTCAGGTCATGAAGACGGCATATTCTTCCACCCTACCATTTGCCATTGATATGTATTATCACAATGGCACTTCTCGGCCCTATCAGAAGGTGCAATAGGCATGAGAGAGGACAATGCGGCTCAATTTGGTGGTCTGTAATCCCGAATGTAAATAGTCATGCAAGACAAAGGCCAGCACCTTCAAGGGTGAAGGATAGTCATTCGAAAGTGATTCTAGTGTTGATTGCAGTGTGTAACTGTATTTGCATGGCTGTCAATCCTGCAAAGTAGGCTGTTGGCAATTGCGTTGTGGCAGAGTTACATGGCCAACGCATTATGTGACAATATACCAAGAGGAGCACCAATGAAGACGTTTAGAATGATTGCCACATCTAAGCCATGGCTTCCTGAGCCTAGATTCAGTAGAAAACAGAAAAAGCACACTGTTGCTATCAGGAAAGGAAACAAGCAACTCCATGTGGCCGATTTCGCTTATCAGAAGGCTCTGGAGAAGCAAAATGGAGCTACAGCGACAACTATAAGCTTACTGTACACGTGTACTTGCTAGGAAGTATTCATATTTAGATTTGTCCCTTTGTAATGATCATTTTAATGCTTATTATTGTAGTAGTATGGTGTAAATAGTAGTGCGTAATTTTTTTAATATCCGATATAATATATCGGATAAAATTGAAGCGTTAAGGGATATGTAGCATATTCTGAACTCTACCCAACCGACCGTATAAAGGTTTTGAAAGAAATGAAGAAGAAGAATTCCTTATTCCGGCGGCCCGAGCATGCAAGGACCACTGCACGTAAGAAGCTACAAGACTGGATGTGTCAGCGAGAAATGACCGAATTGAGTGACTTGAACTCCACCAAAGGCACACAAATCAGTCCAACTTGGAACTTCAGCAAAACACATCCAGACCCCAGCAATAGGTAGAAAATTTTTAACTGCTAGGGGGGAGAGAGTGATTTTTAGACAAGATTCTAAACCAGTTGAACCGAGGAGTGCCTCCACCTGCCATGACAAGTATACCCGAATTCCTCACACGTGTCTTCTTGCCAAACACCAAACGGACAGGCCGTGGTACTACTGTACCAGTAGAGACTGTACATTCCGACGCATCCAGCGCTGGAGCCAGCAGGGCCTCTAGCCGGTCTTGTCATTCTCATTTGACGAGAACAGCGTCAGCAGCGCCCATGTCACGCCCGGCGAAGTATCGCCAGATTCAAACTAGATCTGCTGAAATTGATGGCGACGACGAGGAGCAAGATTTCAATTCCGACCATGATGCAACATTGCCAGATGGAGGACCCAACAAGAGCCCAAGAGGACCAACGCCGGACACAGAGCCAGAAGACACTGCACCAGAAGACACAGAGACAGAAGTCGAAGAGTCAGCAGAAGAAAAGGAAAGAGAGGTCCCACTCAATGCATGGGTCCATCTCACTCATGAACATTGTCGGGCCGTATGCAAAGGACCAATCTCCAATAGTAAGAAGGACCGGATTAGCTGTGGGAAACTCAAGACCAAGTGCCATCTGCACCGCGTCTTGAGAGAAGAAGGGCACCGGGCCAAACCTATGTGGTATGAGGGAATTGTCTCCACCAAGGACAAGAACACCAACACTGGGGAGTACATCGTCCACGGTCGACAGGATGGTTTCAGCCGATCTGAAGAGAGAATGGACGAGAGCCTCAACCGGGCAACAGGATTAGACGACAAGGAGTCTCCTTCTGAAGATGAAGAGGGACCCGAGGACACTGACCGCGAAGAGACAGACTTTGATGCAACAGATTTTGAAGCCAGTGAGGGGGAGACAGAAGGCCACCTCAACGAGGATCCCGAGGCCGATGCTCTCCAAGAGCTTAACCATAAGATCGCTCTGATGGAAAGAGAGACCCAACTGTTGAGGCTGAAGGCGGAACGTGCTAAACTAGAAGATGAGTTGCCCAAGAAGAAACCGGCCCGCAAAGGGAAGCAGGCCACTCCCAGCGAGAAGAAGGCTCAAGCAACAGCCCGCAAACAAACCCCAATCGCCAGAAAGAAGAAGTTGAGGATGAACAAGCCTCCTCCTAAACAAGTGTCAAAGAGGGCAACAACACTTCCAAATCCCCTTCTAAGCCAACTGCCGCCACCCCGAGAAAATTGGACCCAGAACTGTCAGCCACCACCACTACCATACCATCTGTCCATTCTTCACCAAGCGCAATGCTCCGGTTTGAGCTGACATAGAGGGTCCTATCCTCCATGTTTAATATGCTCTCGACAGCGACGCATTGGCAATTCAGAACGTACTTTCAAGCCGCCTTCTGTTATCCCCTCCCAAGGCTGTGGACAAGGTAATGGGGCAGGACCCCCTATATGGATCTCCGTGAGCTCCGTTCTCATTACCATGATGGAAGCGATGGGTTACGGCTTTGAGTTCCTCTCAGCACTGGAGTCACAGTTGGTCACAGCCCAATGCTTCTGCTTTGTTGACGACACCGACGTCATTGAGGCTGGCAATACAGTCCTTCACTCGGGTGAAGCCATATGTGCAGGACGCCGCCACTCTGTGGGCTGGGGGAATCCGAGCCACTGGAGGTGTGATGAACCCCGAGAAGTTCTTTTGGTGGCTCATCAATTTTGAGTGGGACTCCCGCACAGGCAAATGGAAATTTTGTGGGAAAAAAGCAGTCACCCCCAACTTTGAACTCCAAATTCAAGGTCTTTCAGGTGCTACTGAATCCCTGCGTCCCCTTGAACCAGATGACTTGGAACGCACTTTGAGAGTTATGCTTGCTCCCTTGGAAAACCTTAAGGCTCACAAGGTTCAGATGGTTGCTAAAGGCAAGGATTGGGCAGAACAGCTTTGACCCAACCTTCTTCACAAAAATGATGTCCTCCCCCTTATCCGGTTGACCATCATGAGTATCCGATGAAGCTAACAACCCTGGATGCCCAGCAATGGACAGACATTATGTCTCCGGTACTTCAAGTGTGCCTTCCGAAGGCGGGTGTCTGTCGTAATTTCCCTCAGGATGTCGTATTTGCTCCGCTGTCCTATCAGGGTCTTGGACTTCCACATCCATTTGGTTGTCAAGTGTTTAAGCATCTTGAGATGTTGCTCCGACATATGGCCAACAGGACCAAAACTGGTGACTGTATGGAGGCCAACGTCCAAGCCCATCAACTTGAAACGGGGACGTCCTTTGGACTCTTGCAACAAGTCTACACCACCACGGCGATCTTAGCTTCAGACACGTGGATGAAATGAGTGTGGCATGAACTCGAAGGTCTGGACATCTATGTCGCCTGTGACTCTCCAGTCCTCTCCCATCGCTGTACGGACGACTCCCTTCTGATGGATCTCTTCATCAACTTGGAGGTTGAATAGGAGGAATTTTTATGGCTCAATTGGTGTCAATTGTTCCTCCAGGTTTGCACAGTGTCTGACATTGTGACTGCTGATGGCAGGTTTATTCGTCGCTCCGCGTGGAATGGGCTCAGGGATGAGTGCTGCCGCTCGCCATACCAATGGCCAAGGACAGTTCGCCCAACCCGGCAACACTGGGACCTGTGACAGACCACCTTGCCTAGAGCCCTGCTTGCCTCCAACGGGCCACATCACCCACTACAACAGCCTTTGGGGCCCTAGACTGACCGTCTGGAGGACTGGAATTGGTTAATGTCACCCACCACAGGCCTTTTCCACCACCATGGGGCAACCTGGAAACACTTTTTCTCTGAGGGCTTCCCCACCACGTCACGTTGCTACGCACCAGTGCTGTCACCTCCTTCCTGCCCATGGTGGACCGCACCGCTTCCTTCTGATGTTCTTCGCGCTACCGTTTGCTCCATCACAGGATCTGACAGGGTTCTTCTCACCGGTACTGGCCGTGCCTCTGAACCGTCCCCTTCTAACAGCCCATCCATCCTTCACGCGTGGCAGACGGCTGCCAAGCTCTGCACAGACTATTACGGGTGGGTTCCCGATGAGATTGAGGTTCACAGGGAGGAAGCCACCTTAGCTGATGCTCTGTTGGAAGGTCGTCTGCGTGTGATCAGCGATGGATCCTGCAAGAACGAGTTAGGGACCGCGGCGGTTCAACTCCTGGTGAAGTATGGAGGATTCCATCAAATCATCATCCGGTGTCAGACCCCCGGTTTGCCCTACGATCAGAGTCCATACCGCAGCGAACTCATTGGTCTGTTGGCCGGTATAATGGCGGTTGATTGGCTTCTCGAGCAATGGTTCCCAACCCTTTTGACTTGCCCCGTGCGGATTGCTTGTGATGGCCTCTCTGCTCTTGAGACGGCTTTCGAAGATCGCCCACTGTCTCCAACTGATGCCCAGTTTGACTTGGTGTCATCCATTTGGGAAGCTATCCTTCGGTCCTTGGTGGATTGGTCGCCCCAGCACGTGTATGGCCATCTCGACAAGTCCAATCTCTTTGACGAACATTCTTGGTGGGAGAAACGGAACCTTGAGGTGGATGGAATGGCGGTGGAGTACCATAAGGAACTTGAGACGGCCAATCATCTCATTGCCCCCAACCCTCGTTTCTTCACTGAACTTGTGGCAATGTACGTGGCAGACACCAAACAGTCACGCCTTGATCCCCAGTTCATCCAAGAGTGGGTGACTCTTCCGGCCCTACGCTCGCACTGGAGGGACAAAGGTACTATCTCCGCCAAAGCCGAGTCTGAGATTGCCTGGGACACACTGGGTCTCGCCACACAATCTCTTCCTGCAGGTTTACAAAGGTGGTCTACTAAACATTGTGTGGGCATGTGTGGGCATGTGTGGCACAGGCAAATTTAAAGTTCTATGGGGTTTGGAGACATCAGCAGCTTGCCCATGTTGCGGCAACTTTGAGGATCATCTGCACGTTCCCCGCTGCCGCGCTGCTTTGGCAACAGCTGAATGGGATCGTTGCACTGCAGCCTTCTCCGCGTGGCTAGACCTGCAATTGACAGGCCCTTCCATCAAAACAGCGCTCCTGCAGATTCTTCACAGCGTTTGCATACCTACTTTGTTTCCTCTCAGGACCATCTCTCCTTCGGTTCGGCCGGCCTTCTTGGCTCAGCAGGTGATTGGGTCCCAAGGCCTTTTGGAGGGATGCATTGCCTCGTCTTGGCTTCCACTCCAACAACAACATTATGACAAGATCAGATGTCGTTGATCTGTCTCTCTCTGGGCGTCCCGCCTCTCACAACAGCTGATCTCGATCGGCTTCTACATGTGGGAGCAACGGAACTCCGTTCAACATTCGGATGATAACGTTCAACTACGTGAACGTCATAGTACTGTCAATGAGGGGATTCACTCACAGTTTGATATGGGGCCCGATGACTTGCATAAGGAAATTCAACCGATGCTAACAAGCCGTCGAAGAGTCCTTCGCAAGTCCTTGGTCGACAAGGAAGAGGGGCTTAAGTTGCTTTGTCAGGAACACAAAGATTTTTGTCGCTCCATGAAAGCACAACGCCGCAGTCTGCGGACTATTTTCTCCCCTGGACCCTGACCAACTTTTTGCGGGACCTTACATGCCCCGAGCTCACCCCGGCACGTCGCGGGAGAAGTCTTTACCCCTTTGGGAGACTTGAGCAACTTCTGTTCAAAATATAGATGCCTCAAATGGTTCAAACTTGTTGTTGACTCACCGCTTCACAGTACTTGACCTTTACAGCCAAATATTTCACCGGCAATCGAATGCCCACAGAGTAGCATATTAACAATTAATATCTCAGTTATTATTATTGTATTCTGCAAATTGTCTGTGTTGCTGTGGATGAACAGGAAGATGGTGGAGAAGGGCCAAGCTGACAGTTTTGGGGGACGTGCCAGAGACAATTGCACAACAGAGGAACAATGCAGAGCATGCATCGCCTCTTCCCACAAAAGAACGACTATCCAAACACAAATATGGTGCAATAAAAAGTAAAAGGTAACAACGCATGTCTCCATTCTAGCCTTGAGGCAACTTTCATTGTTACCTACGTTCTCTTAGTCACATGCTGTTTTCTAGGTTACTGCAAGGATGCTTTACCTTCAATGTCCTGACGAGTTGATGCCTCCACTTTCTCCACCAGAAATTTGTGGAAGAATCCATTTTGTTCCAATCCTGCTTCCTTTTCCTATGTGTGTTGCCTTCCATTCTTGATCTATCTTTTCATGAAATGAAAAAAGTTCCTCATCCGTTTCTTTTCCAATTAGGTCATCTTTGTTCCGTCCCCAACAAAAAGTCCAACAATCTCTTTGGTACTTTTCTTTGATGCTGCAATGTAAACAGGCCTTCCATGTAGGGCCTTTTCAGCTTCCCTCACATCTTGCAGCATATCTACCAAAGGATACTTTGGGGCTACAAATTCTTGCAACTTGCTGCTAGACGTTTTCCTTAAAAGCCAGCAGTATGTGTAATCCTTTGGACTTCAGAATGGTTGGTGAAAAATCCAGCATCACAACAAAGTATTGACCATTCGGAATAGGTTTTCCACTTACATACATCTTTCGTCTCTCAGCTGCAAATGCCCTGGACCAATGCTGGTTGGACACCCAAGTGATCGACCTGGCCATCAAACATGCCATCCTCCTCCTTATCCAAGGTGTCTGTGATCCGTCCTTTCCTTCCCTATGGGGTGTCTGTAGGGCGTTCCGCTATCAACAAAAATGCATTGACTACCAAGGACTCTTGGAAGGATGCTGTCTTGTCAATGGGCCCCCTTGCAGGAAGAATACCTACAGTTGCATGAGAGGCAGCTCTCCCACTCTATGGGTTTCTTGTCTATTGTACCAGCTGATCTTGATGGGGCTCCAGATGTGGGAACATCAGAATTTGGTGCAACACTTGGAGGATAATGTGCAGCTACATTAGCACAGCCGACAGGTCAACAATGGGATTCATTCCCAGTTCAATATAGGCCCAACCGACCTTCCAAAGGTTGTCCAGCGCATGCTCTTGTTCAAGCGCCGGACAGTACTGAACAAACCCTTGGTAGATCGGGAGGAGTGAAGAAAGCTGGTGAAAATGGAACACACGGCCTACCGACGCGCTCTGGTGCCTCAACGGCGCATTCTCCATTGCTTTTTTCATCCTAAGGACCAAGTCCCCTAACCACTGTTTTGTGGAAGGGTCCGGACCCACTGGTTCTGACTAGAGCAACTTCTGTTTGTCAGATGCCTCTCATTATTCAAACTTTTTGTTAACTTGCCGCTTCCCAGTACCTGACCTTTACAGCCGAGCATTCCACCAGCAATCCTATGTGCTAGATAGCATTTAATTGATTATTGTTTCAGTTATTATTATTATTATGAATATGATTAATATTCTTATTCTCTCAGCTGAAATGATGCCCCTCTTGCTCTTCCGCTCTGTTCCGCTCCTTTGCAGCTTCCTACAACCAAAGATCCAATGGAAGAATCAGGATCAATATGTCGACTATGGGAAGAAGCTCAATCTCAATCAGATTGGAGCAACTGTCCCAGCTACTGTTCCAGCTATAGTTCCTGGAGCTTCAGCATCCACAAGTGGATCATCAAGTGTTGCGGGAAGCGTTAACACACCATTGCAACTTGCTGGTATTACAGGTAATCAAATGATGCAAGTTCCTTCTGGAATGCAGCTCATGCAGATTCCAACTCAAGGTGGCGGCACTGTGACTGTCCCTTACTCAATGAATGCTAATGGTGAAATTGCGTTCAGCCAAATGCAACTCGACCATCAAGGATTCAGTGGTGCTCAAGTGCGCCAAGGATTCCATGCAACTCAAGCTCGAACTCCACAGATCTTGAAGACTGGCTATTACAATACGTCAAATGTCTTCCACGATGCTATCAAGGGAAAGGATGGCAATGATGTCTATCTTATTTCATGTCCTGCTGGTACGACAGATGTCAAACTTCAAGCCGACTGGCACTATGCTAGTGAAAATGAAGATTTGCCTGATCTTGCTACTGAAGCAGATCGAGGTCTGCAGCTTATTCAAAGCCGCAGAAGAGAAAGAGATCCATTTGGGGTGTACGATCATGTCATCATGGACAGTGGTTTTACAAACACCACCACTTGTAATGGTGAGCTCATGCATGGACTCCGCCATGCTGAGAAGGAGCTTGATATGCACACTAACGTGGGCAGCAGAGTTCTCGACGAAGAAGGTTTTCCAGGAAGATTTCTGCCTCCAGTTTATCACGGTGAAGATGGAATTGCCATTTTACTTGCTATGCGCGAGATGATTGCTGCGGGATACCGCATTACTATGGATACTGATGCTGACAATGCCTTTATTGTGCATTGTGATGGAAACAGAAAGATGCAATTTGTGAATCGTAAGGGTGTGTATGTGTTGGAGCAACTTGGAGCAAATGTCAAGCCAGGTGCCAAAGAGACAAGTGCAATGTACCGTCGCCAGTTAAACAACTTAAATAATCAACCCCATTTCAAACTTTCTTCAAACAAACAGAATGGATATGCTGGACTCGAGATGACCTCCAAGATGGCAACTGTTCAAAAGAACAAGGAAGGATTCACTCCAAGACAAGTCAAGGCTGCAATGGAAGCAAGAAGTGCGATGCACATACTCAATGCTCCAAGCACCAAAAGTCTGAAGTATGCGATCCGATCTGGTCTCATCAAGAACTGTCCTATCACTGAAGAAGCGATCAATCATGCCAAAGCAATCTTTGGACCTGACGCCTCTACATTGAAAGGCAAGTCAACACGACCAACTCCGAAGAAGACTAACTCCTTCAGTCCACCAGAGGAATTGTATCAACACAATCAACCTATTATCGTCTGTATTGATCACATGGAGATCAAGAATGCTAAGTTTCTCACCTGCATTGATACCGCGTTATTGCTCATGTATTCCCATGCAGAACCTGAAGACTGACCCTGTATTTGAAGCATTGGATGAGATATTCCGCCGCTACAACAAGACAGGCTTTCAAGTCAAGACGATCCAGTGTGATCGGGCTTTCATTCCTCTCACGGATGATGTGCTAGACGATATGGGTGTTACTATTGACCCAACTGCAGCTGGAGACCACGAGCCTACCGCTGAGCGAAACAATTGGACGCTGAAAGAAAGAGTCAGAGTAGCTCTTGCACGATTACCCTACAAAGTGGTCCCAAAGGTGATCATTGAATGTCTTGGACGTCAAGCCGCCAAGCTATTGAATGGCTTTCCCCAGAAAGACAGTATCTCATCACATTTCAGTCCGCAGCAACTCATTGATAATGTCAATATCAACCACAAGAGTGACATGGTTGCTGAACTCGGACAATATGTTCATGCAATTGGGACAGATTCCAGCAATTCGATGGAACCCCAAAGTATTGAAGCGATTTACATTGAACCTACGAAGGGACAACGTGCTGGGCACCGAGTGCTCAACCTCAATACTAAGAAGATGATTTCTCGACCCGAGGTTGTCGTACTACCCGTTACCGACCAAGTAATCCAGCGTGTTGAAGCTTGGGCTGCTGCCAAAGGTGTTACTTCCATGAAGTTTTTCGATAAGAAGAGAGATTTGGAGACATTTTACGATGGCAATCAAATTGCAGGAGTGGATGACACGGAACAAGGTTACTTAGAAGAAGCCTTTGATCAGGACTATGAACCTGAAGATGAAGATGAATGTGATTTTAATCTACGTGGACAATTCAATGATATCGATGACTCCGAAAGAGAAGAGCTCTTGGCAGATGCAGACAATGATGTCAATGATATGCCAGAACTCAATGAAGGATCTTGCAACAACAGGAATGTGTGTGAGTGATCAAGTGGTTGATGGTTACATTTCACTGATAATCAACGGCATGCATACCTATAGGGGCAACAATAAACTTGCAGGTGTTTCTGCATCGATCTTGTTGTATATGCGGCGACAAGGGTGGAAGGGTGTGAGGCATCTCTTTGCAGAGGAAAAAAGAGTTCACTTTGTTCCCGCTTTCTTTGGCCATTATGCTTGTGGCCACTGGGCTGCAATCGTCATTGACATAACTTGTGCTGACGATGAAGATGGGACACTTGTTTTTGTTGACAGCATTCCATCAATGAGAACAACTAATCATACGGAAGTGAAGAAATTGTTTACAAATCCTGGTACACCATATGCAAATACAAAACAAGTATTGATGAACTCGCCTGGTCAAGTCATTTATTCCAATGATTGTGGCATGCTCATGCCACAGGATCACCTGGTGCCAAAAGAGATTCAGTTGCAACATGGATTCACTCCTGCTCAATATGGAATTGAAATGAGAAAACATGTTCATAAATCGTTGAGAGATGGTCGAATCAATTTTGAAGACACTATCCTTCAGTGCTTGTTACTGGTAGACAATAACAAATAAAAATGTACCTTTCCTCCATTGTCCTTGTTGTTGCAGCATCCTCAAAGCTTTTTGAATGCCAGATAATGCTCTCCAAGGAAGTTGGCAGCGTTGAGATGTTACCCATTGGGAGTCCATGGTCCATTGGCAACTCATGTAGCCGACCGCTGTGCATCATATAGTTGCAGAGCATACTGATCGCAATTTCAACTGTTGTGTATGTCATTGGTTGAAAGTGGTCCGTGACTGCAAAGCACCAGTCACATCGTGCTTGGAGCCAAGCGTGCTGTTGCCGGGGCGTAAACTCTAGAAAGTTTGGACCTGATGCCCATCCTATTGTACACCCTGTTGCGCTTGGTCATGAACTTGATTCCCTTGTTCAGGACAAGCAGGCATCTGCTCTTGTTGTTCGTCTTGTTCTTGCTGCTCTTGTTCTTGATTCCGTTGTTCAGGACGAGCAGGCACCTGCTCTTGTTGTCCGTTGCCCCCCAACAAGTTGGCAGAAGCCAAGTGTTTAGCCCAGCCTGCAATTTCTTCTTGGTTAGATGTCCCTTTAAACGTGCCCCAATCACTCCTGAGTGCAGGGGTCACAGTCGTTGTCCTTGTTGTAGTGATTGCTGCTGTGCTTGGTTTCTGCAAGATTTTGATTTGTGCGAGCAAGGCTGGTGTGTGAAAAAATGTTTTGCATTTCATGGACAATGGACTAACTAGACCGCAGTTGTTCTTTGGTTTTTAGTGCTCTTAATTGTTGGAAAAAAGATTGTCATCTGAAGGTTTTCCCTCCACATTTGCTTAGTTTGTAAGCGACACCATAGTTTTGATTGGCTGATTTACCTTAGTTTCCGGGTTACTTTAGAGGTAGTATTTGATTTTCAAATACTCCATTGTCGCTTACATCATCCGTGAATGAATACCGTTGGATCACGGATTGCCGTGGCCTTAGTACAAAAAATACGTCGTTTTCAAATACTCCCTGTGCACATATATATGACCCCGATCCACGAAATACCCACCCAAAATTTGGGTGGAATTTGGAATTCTGGGGACAAAGGAAAAATTTCAAAAAGCACCTATTAATACGGACCTAAAACCTCTTCAAAGCGCTAGAGAATACTTTGCCCATCCCTTGAAAAAAGTCCCAAGTTCTTAGGAGGTGTTAGAGGGGCTCCAGTGCAGAAAACAACTTTCTGCTAACGGCTAAAAAACAGCCGTTACTCAATTTGACTCAATTGACTTGATATTGACTCATGGGATTGCCCAAAAAAATCAAGAGGCCGGAGCCAGATCTCGTACCATACGACCTTGTTGCGAATACATTCTTAGATAAATTTCATTTGCTAGGACTGGGTCCACTCTGAATTAGAGATCTTTCTGTATATCAATCATAATTCAGGCCATTCCACAAAGTCAATTGAAAAGTAGGAAAGGGAGAAAAAATTATGCTGGCCTAGAATCTTTCTTCCGCCATGGCCCTCCAAACCACCGCCCAAAATCGATTATTATACATATTTTGACCAACTTTGAACTTGGTGCCATCGTGTCAGAGTATCGACTCGGCTACTGAGAAGGATTCCAGCCATATTCTTTCATGACCCTGGATTGATCCCCAAAGCAGTGTGAGTGCTATTCAATCACTTTTACCTAGAAAATGTCCACTCCAAAGCCACCAATCTTCTCGTACATACCCATGGACGACAAATATGTGTCAGAACTAGTCATTTTTAGGAAATTCGGCCCACACCACCACCAAGTGGCCTTTTGGACCAGATTTCCATGATTTCTGATCCCATTTGGGCCTCATGATTCTTAATCTAGGCGGAACCATTGCCTGGGTCCCGGAAAATTTGAGCATTAGGCATCCAAGGGAGGCTCTGGTGTATTGTTGAATGGATAGCTGTCTCCAGGGCGGCCATGCCAACCTTCATGCTGAAAGGGGAACAGGCAGCACCAAACACTGGAATTCCAATATCTCGGCAAGTATTCAAAACAAAGCTCAACCAAATGAATCTCCCAGTAGGTAGGATCACTGCCGAGCTTTCCAGCACATGTTGAATGTGAGGCATTGGCCCTCTTGACTTTCTGCCGACCAGTTTCTGCAACCAAACAGAACCAGCCAAACGAAACAGGGTAGATTGTAGTGTAAATGAGGCAATTGGAAGTACGAATCGCCGCTCCAGCCATAGTCTATCTATCAAATACGCTTGCCACAACATGTTACACCATGGCACCTTGATGTGCTTCAAATCGTCAATTTTGGTAGTTGGACACTGCAAACGAGTCTCCGTGTAGATCTTGTCTTGGTGGTGACGGTAGATATGAGTCGCATTCGGCAAATACGTCTTCTTGACACCTATCCGTCCAGTCCAAGCAACCAACGGAACCAATCATGGTGGATTATTGTGTGATTGCGGCCCAGCACCGCCGCTCCCAACGTAACATATATATCAACTATGCTTGCCACAACCTGCCTCTGATTTCACTTTCTCCACTCCTGGGGTCCAGGCCGTGCAATTTCATTGGTCTCCGTTGAAAATCGTCCTGTAGGAACCCAGATAATGCACATAAAATGGTATCATTGCCTTTAGTATAATAGTACAAGCAACTTCCGCAGAAAATTCTAGCTCTATGTTGCCTTGGGACTTTGTAGACGTCCCGAAACCGCTGTAAAAGTAGTTTTCAGACCTCGTTGAGGTCCTTTAGCAGTGATTTCAGAGGTGGAAGGGGCAAACGCATCCATATCGCTTCATACAAACAATATAGATACGGTCACGATGCAGAGAAAGTCCGCGACCCACGAGTTTTCCTCTAGAGGGTGATGCTTTCCTTGGCCTCGAGGCTCACCATTGCCGATGAAAGGGAAAATTGATGTGATTGACGGGCAAGCGCAGAGAGGTGCGTGATGGGTTCGGAAACAGATGAGACGTACAGAAAATATCAGGTTCGAGCGCAAATTCTACCAAGCGACTCGTGGAATTTTTCGTAGGAGCAAAATGGAATAAAAATGGCATCCGAGACATCACCTTTGTCAACAATACCATATGCCGATACTACAATACTGAGGGAGTATGTAACAAAGCTGGCCTATTACCTACATCCAAGCCTATACTATATTACCTACAGGTATTCGTCTTCCTTAATTCATTCCACTCTCTCCACAGTGGCAGTCTTCGCCATTCTTCAGCAACTGCCGCAGCAACACAGAAACCATAGTAGCTCTCCAACATAACAATCAACAGATCTTAGACCTTGGGGGAAAGGAAGGGAAGGGAAGGGGAATCTTTCAATTGTCACTCTTTTGTCGTGCCGTTTCAAGCCTCTTCTGTAGTAGCTTGTTTCATTTTCTCGATAACTGCCTATCACCCCACTTCTCTGACCTTGACCTTGCATGACTGCGCTAATGAAAACCAATTGATCTGGTGGTACACGTATTGTAGATGATGCAGGTGTTGCAGACGGCGTAGCTACCTTCTTTAGCTTCCGTTTCGCTGTCAATCATCTTCACATCCTGAATGGTGATGCGAATCAGTAAATTCGTCGTCACCAGATCAAAAATTGTTGCAAACCGGTTTCGAGCATAGAGCTAAAATCCTAGAAAGAATGCGCGTCGAACCGTCTAATCGGCGTTAGATTGCGACGTCTTTTAAAAATGACCAATTTGGATTTCTATGGTGATATTTTTTTAGAAAAGCCCGAAAGTGGGTATGGGAAGGGGGGGTTTTCATTAGCAATTTCGTCATCGCCAAATCTATCAGGGTCAAGTCCGTTCATCTTCCTGTATGTGGAAAACAACCATCTTGATGCATTGTTCACCCCATAGTTTGACTTTGATTGTCCTAGTCTTGGACCCTTGGCAATGGCTTTGGATGTCATGGGCAAGGTCGCAAATGCACTGCTGCAGCCTGGTTGAGTCCAATGACGAAGGCTCTGTTTGTGTGCAGGTTGAAATATTAGGTGGTCGGTCTGGCATCAACCGTCGATGCATCACATGAGGTTTCATGAAAGTTGGTTCTCCTCCGCGTGGCGGAAGAAGGCCAGACGGTTCTGGTGACTCCTAAAAGACCTTCGGCTGGATCGTCGCACTTTCATCTCGGCACCAAACAATCAAACAATCAAACAGTCGATCAATCAATCAATCAATCAATCAATCAATCAATCAATCAAACAGTCGACCAAACAGTCGATCAATCAAACAATCAAACAAATAATCCGTCGTGTGATTGTCAGTATTGTTAGCCTAATTGACACTTTCTTCTACCCAATAGTATTGTATCATGACAACTTCTTCTTCTTCTTCGTCGTCAACGAATGATCGACATGACATTCTTAAGGCGTACCCTAGATTCTGGGCAAGCCTTGGAGTGATGCAAACCCTGCTTTCAGCTGGGATTGTCTTCGGCTGGGCAAGTTTGTTGCCAATTTTGCGAAACGAAGGAGTTGATAATACTCCGCAGCAATTTTCAAAGATCTTTACCTGCGGTGCCATTGGAAATTACCTTTCCACTTTGCTATTTGGAGTGACATTGGATCGCTTCGGTCCCAGAGTTACTGCCATTATGGCAAGCCTGTTGTTCGCTGTGGGTTTGATCTTGTGTATTTTCCAGGACTCCTTCTATTGCCTTTCGGTTGGATTTGGACTGCTAGGCTTTGCTGGCCCTGGTATTCAAATGCCAACGCTGCACTTTGCGAATCTGTTTTCATCGGCTGGTGGTGCCTTTTACATGTCGAGTCAGGCGGCGGCATTTGATGGTGGAACCTTGGTGTTTGCTGTGGTTCGATACTTTCACATATCCATGAGCTTGACAACTGCTGACTTCTTTCGTGTCTTCCTAATCGTTCCAGGATCGGTCCTCCTGACGGCAATATTCGTATGGCCAGATGTAGCGTTGGACAATCCAGAGACTGTCGAACAAGAATTGGATGCCAAACTTGAGTCTCCATATTTGGGACCCGCCTCTTCGCCGTACCTGTCTCCTCGGGTCAAACCCATGATCAAGAAGAAGAAGAAGGCAAATGCAAATGCAAATGCAAATGCCCAGAGTACAACAGAGGGCGGTGATAATGCTGAGCAAAGCCTGATCAATGCCCCACTCGAAGTGGTGTTTCGCCACCAATCCTTTTGGACTCTTGCCATTTGGGTGAGCGTCCACATTTTGAAATTGAATTTTGTGGTTGCGACACTTAATGATCAATTGTACAATACGGTGGACTCGGATACAAAAGATAGGATGATTGATCTATTTGGAGCCATGCTGCCATTTGGTTTTATCGCACTCCCTTTGGTAGCATGGCTATTGAACAAGTCACCGATATGGGTCATTCAGATTGCCAATGTGGTCGGCGTTGCCTATGGTGCCATTCTTGTGTGGTATCCTTCCTCAACTTGGCTTTTGTCGTTTGTCGTCTTTCCAGCAGTTGCCACCTCGCGACAGATGGTATATTCGACAGTATTCCATCAGATTGGGGCCGTTTTCGGCTTTGCCAATTATGGAGTACTTCTGGGATCGACCAACATTTTGGTCTCTCTAATCTCGGCCATCCAAACCCCCCTCGTGTCCTTGAGTGAAGATTTGGGTGACTATACTACTGCGAATTATGTATTGCTCTTGTTGACCGTGCCATTATTCTTTGTGGGGCTTGTGCAATTTCCAGGCTCCAAGAAGAAAAAGTCGACGACACGATCCGACAGCAAAACTTCAGAGGAAGAGGCAACTCTACTTGGTGGAGACCGTTCTGGAATGCCTAGGAATTACAGTACAACTTCTACTGGGGCCTAAATTGGGAATCGCCGTTGGCATTTGGTGACAATTTGTATGCTGCGTATGCTGGTATTGGATTTGATATTTGATTTCTATATTTCTATATTTCTGCACTGCAGTGTTGAATGGAATGACATAAAATGCTTGGAACTTGTATTGCAAGTGTGTCAACCGAGATTCCGAATTGAAAACTTCGTCTCTATTATAGTGTCTATGTAAATAGTTAATCTTCAGTTCGGTTTCTTGTCTGACCTACAGAGCGCAAAACTGATTGCAAAATGGGCCGTACGGTGATTTAGCACGATTATTTTCTTCTTTCGAATCAATATATATGATGTAATGAGGCATGCAATCATGTCATCATCATGCAATCATCATGCGATGATACATTCATTCAATCATTCGTTCATTCGTTTGGTGGCAGTAGAAGCATTGCCAGAATGATGGACCATACAAAGAAGATGATATTGTTGTATAGGACACGATAGGGCGGGTGTACCAATGCCAAGTTGATCAAAGTGGCTGGTACCCAAAGCTTCCAATTTGTCACGAGCGTCATGCCGAAATCCTTTTGCAGGTGCAACATCATCGCCTTCAGACCAAGGCCTTCTAGTGTATCCAAAAATAGGAACACTGCAAACAGAAATGATGGAGCAAATAGCAATTGATCAATGAGAAGCTTGACAAAAGTTGTCCACGTCCATGGATTGGAAGTCGGCGGAAGCTCTCGATCCAATAGCACGTAATAATAGTGCGTCACTGGTGCTTGCAGAACGAGTCCGAGGAAAAAGAATTCCCACATTTGCTTTGCGTCAAACGTTTGGAAACTAACAATGAGTTGCGAAATGACTTCTCCTGAGGCTGTCAGAACGGCTGAAGTCAAGGATTTCGTGATTAATGGATAATCATCAATGCTCTTCTGGTATGACTTCCAAAGCCTGCATAATATGGCAGCACAGGGTGGTCCATGTCCCTTCCTACTACTACGAGATGGTTTCGATGGTTTCCATGGTTTCGATGGATCCAGCAGCAGAGGAGAATCTTCTCGTGTTAGCGACAAGTGGGTGACTAGCCATGGCTTCTTTTTGGTTGTATTCAAGCTATCGTTGCCATTCAAACTCAGCTCATGTTTTGTGGGAGTGACGTATGAGAGAGTTTCATCATCGTCTGCATGTTCGTCATGATTCTGCGTTTCGATGTCGTCAAATGTTTCCATTGCTGTGATCGTCGTTTGTTATTTATGATACTGAGTGAAAGGTGTGTTGGCATTAGAATTGACACAGACACTGACACCTTGACATCTTCTTCCTATCTACCGGTACCTGGTACAGTAAGATGCAGAAGACAATTGCACAAGATGATAGGATCGAGGTCTCAATTTGTGAGCTCAAACTCTACTTCGAGTTCTGCGAATTCGGTTGCGTCACGGATCTTACAAGTCGATTCGAAAATGGAGATCTGAATGCCAAAGGAGTGTGGACTAAAACTCAGTCCGAACTATTGGGAGATGGTATATTTTTTGCAAAGTACATCTTCAAAGCGCGGTTGCAAGCGGCAAGGGAAATTTGTTGCGCTTCCTGGTAACGGGTAACGGGTAACGGGTGCCTTGCAATGGTATCGGATGAGCTTTGATATAAATTGTAGTCTGAATATTTTGTATACTGTTCTACACAACATGCGATGAAAACTGAGACATGCCTCCATTGCAGCGCGGTATGTTTGACGGCAGCACTTTGGTAATCGAAGTGACCGCTTCATAAACGAGCATCGGAAACCATTGGTTGTGACCGGAGCTCTTCATCGATCGGACCCTTTGCCATTATGACCTTTACTCCTTCGTACGGAATCTCAGAAGGGAATCCGGAATTAGAAACTTTCCATTTCATTCTTTTCTTTGATTGAATGCTCCCAAATTGGACTAACATGAACCAAAGTGAAATTCTTGATTCCGTCGTCCAAGGGCCACTGTACCTTCGTATGCTTGCTGTTTTGCTGTATAGCAGCCTCCTGAAGTTGTAAACCACATCTTATTATTCGATTACCATCTTGGATCGAACGATATACTTATTTGTTCCGGAAATCGGAAAACCATTTTTTATTTTTATTTTTAAATCACACACAAAATACACCAACTATCGCAAAGACCAACGGCGTCGCCAAGTTGATTCCAATCACTTTATATTTTGCCTAGTAAATAACTAGATAAAATGGAGGAATACTAAATAATAATGACCCGTCCAGTGGACTGTCAAGAAAGGTGCAAGCGCTTTCATGTGCTGTTGGATGGAAACTAGTGTGGATTTTACTTCTTTGGAGCAACAAGCCTTTCTACAAAAAAAAAATGTACTACTCACTGTTCTTATCATTCAGATCAGCTTCAACTATTATTTTATATTATTACATGGTAGACTGTTTTGAGAAAGACACAAAACCGACAGCCCGGCACACGACGACGACCACCATCACCAAGAAGATGGTGGTGGCCCGCCATTCCTCTCTTTTATATTATAGAACCCAAGATATTTCTCCATCAAAAACCCAATTGGAAAATTATATTGGTACTTCGTTTGGTATCAGAGGACTGCTGCCTCGTCCTCGGACAATACTGTTGGCACCGCCTTGCGCTCGTCGTGTAAATTTCATATCCTTCTTGAACCCTACAAGCGGGGTAGCTTTTCGTCTATCCACAGCTCTAGTACCGGTACCGGTAGTTGGCGTGGACAATTCTAATGTCTGGGATGGTGTTGGTCTTTGAAGTTGGGTCGGCTGTGGCGTGGGTCCTCTAGTAGGAGCAAGAGTCGGAAATCGACTTGGTCCAGGTGTCGGTTCCCTGGTTGGACCAGGCGTCGGTTTAGGAGTTGGTAGGCCGGTAGGATATGGTGTTGGTTCAGGCGTTGGCAGTCCGGTAGGATATGGTGTTGGTTCAGGAGTTGGTTCTCGGGTCGGAGGCCGCGTCGGTCGCCTTGTTGGTCTACGAGTGGGTCTCGGCGTTGGATTTCTTGTCGGTCCCCTCGTCGGTCGTGGGGATGGTCCTGGTGTCGGATTTCGAGTAGGTCGTGGAGTAGGATTTCGAGTAGGTCGACGTGTTGTTTGAGAAATGGGTTGCGGGGTCGGATTTCTCGTTGGTGGACGAGTTGGGTTTCTCGTTGGCGCAGGAGGGGAACTTCCGCATCCACAGACCGAAAACGAAAAATGTTTCAGAGGATTGCACATGAATCCTGGAATGAGTCCATTTCTTCCTCGATCATACAATTGTCCACAACTGAAATCACCAACGTATCTTGCGACGACTCGAGCATTTGGTTTCCCAGGATACTTGTCGTTCCCACAAATTCGACACATGGGTTCCGTTCCGCCGCTATTCGACTTGGTAGGTGCTGGAGCTGGAGGGACGTAGATGGCTGGTGGCTCGGCATCGCCACAGCAACTTTCCCTATATCGACTTTGTAACGAGGAACACTGACCACTGTTCTTGTCTAGACTTCCCAGTTTCAACCAAGCTTCTCCACATGTCCTGAATGGATTGGTGTCGACGATGTAATCCAAACGCTTTGGAACTACTTCCAACCTGCTGCATAGGGGACATTTACTTGCTCCATTGGCGACAGAAAATTGTAGAATCCCGAGGATAACGACTAGCCATTGATTGCAGATCATGGAAGATAATGAATGCTCACTTTGCCACAGAACAAACGTTGTCGTGATGTATGTACCGGTATACCGGTAGGAAAACCGAATTGGGAAGTTTTGCAGTGTATGTGGCGTCAATTTTTCAAAATGGCTACTGAAAGTCACACACATCAGACGCCAGTATAGTAGGTGCACGCGATCGGGTCTGGCAGGAGCACTGAACGGAAAGCTGTGAATGGATTTCTAAGTACTTTCATCCGAAAATTTAATTAGGATCAGATCCAATTGCCTTGGCATTCGTTTTCCTAAGTGTTTGACAATAGTATGAAAATATAACGGCTCGATCTTTGTGAAAGAATTCGTTGCGAACAGTGAGCCGACTGGACCCTCAGCAACTCGTCTGTCTGTCGTCCAATTTAAACGGGGGGAAGCACTTTTCTCTAGTCTTCCCCCATTATGTTTTGCAGTCAAATTTAGGGGCCCCAAGTTCTACTTTTGGGTCGAATCGAAACACGACAAACCAGTTCGAAACACGACAACAGATTCCGAAACGCGACAACAGAATTTGAAAGACGACAAACCAATTCGAAAGACGACAAACTCGAATGAAACACGACAAATCAATTTGAAACACGACAAACTTGAATGAAACACGACAAACTCGAATGAAACACGACAAATCAATTCGAAAGACGACAAATCAATTTCGAAAGACGACAAATCAATTCAAAAGACGACGACAACAAAATTCATCACGCCCGTCTAAACCTGTTCATGGTCCAAAGTAGAAGCGACGGACGGCAGAAAAAACAGGAAAATACGCTCATGTGCGAGAACTATCGCTACGTCAAGGTCATGAAGGAAGGCGACAACATGCCTTTTTTGGAGGACCCGGTGAAACATTGGCTCCAGGCGGGAAGGAGCCTAATATCAAGTGGCATCATTGAAAGGCACAAAGGATTCCATTTGGAGATGTGACGACAATTGTTACTAAACTCGAATCCAACAATAAACAGGATTTGGATTATTATCAAGCTCCATGATCCGACTTCTCGCAATATTCTTATTGCCAAGCTTCCCGTTCTCAAGTTTGAGTTCTACTACAACCCAGATACGGTTGTCTCCAACTATAATCGGGCTACTGACGCCTCAACTGGTTCGACGAGTGTCACAATCAGTTTAGATGACATGTCAAAGGAAATGCATGATCGAGCAGAATTTTGAAAGAAATGCTTTTCAAAGAACATTTTATATCTATCTGTTGAGATTTGTATCACATGTTGCAGTGAAGTAGCAGGGATGGTAGGATATATGTATAATACGCTGGTCTTTTGCTGGTCTAGAACTCTTGTTTATTGTCTTTACATCTATCTACAGCATCTTCAGTCAGAATATTATGGAGTGGTGAAGACTGCTCTTGAATGGAATGGGACCACGCATCCACAATTGCCGATTGTCCACTACCGAAATTCCAAACCCGTGGCTTATTATTGTATCTGTGAAGGTAGTATCGGGGATCTTGACTGCAGTCCGAATGAGAAGGCTCATTGATCGATCCAACGGTGACTACCATCCGTCGACAGCACCCAACTCATACCTTTCTGACTAGTTTCTTCCCTTACAAAATCACGTCTTGAATCTTTTTGATCGTTTCCCATGTTTTGATCGTTGACCAAAAAACTACTTTTCGAAGACAGTAAAGCCCCATTAAGAAGTACTTAAGATCTTCGTCTCCTTCGTTGATCTTGGTGTCTGCAATGTTGCTTAGTTGCAGGTCGGTCTAGATCCAAACTGCACGGCAAGGAGAGACTCCAAAATGGTGCTTGAAGTGGAAGACATTCGCCTTTCCCCTTCGCACATTTGATTCCCTTCCACACGTATCCCCAATGGAGAAAGGCCGTGATATTCGTCATCTCCGATGGAGTGAGGATGTGGTTCATGGGCGGATCTTCGTCCGATGATAAGATCATGAGAGATAGGCGAGAATGCTGCATATGTATTTCCATCCGACAACTTCAAGCTGAAACAAAGACGACAAGATTTTTCGAAAGACGACAAGATTTTTTGAAAGACGACAAGAAATTTCGAAAGACGACAAGATTTTTTGAAAGACGACCAGCACCCCCGATTGACAAGATTTTTCGAAAGACGACAAGATTTTTCGAAAGACGACAAGAAATTTCGAAAGACGACAAACCAATTCGAAAGACGACAAACTCGAATGAAACACGACAAATCAATTTGAAACACGACAAAATATTTTTCGGAAAACTGTAATGCCCCCTTTTAAACAACTCCCCCTAAAGAATGATGTATTCGCTCCCCGTAAATTCAATACGCAAAATCCCCCTTAAAACGACGAAGGACGGACGAGTTGCGGAGGGTCCTGTTGAAGAATCCGTTTGGACAATGGTGATCACGCGAACATCTCAACGTTAATTCGAGTTTTCATTCGCTATCAAGCACGTGGCACATTCAATTCAACGAGTGAGTTTGTAAGCGAGGGAGTTGATTGCAATGAGTGGAAATGGTAGTAAGGAATGACCCGGAAGGGTTACTCTTGTGTGCACCGTGAGTCAAAGCATGCTCGAGATTTAGAAATGATTCAATGCTAGGATTAGATAAGATTGCTGACAAAGAAAAAATGAAATCAAGACCTATGATCTACAAATAATGTTATTTGTTTCATGGCATTAATCTATAAATTGGCGCGTGAATCAGGCTCTTGTGGTGTCACATTGTCTCGCGTCACATTGCATTGATACCTTCCTTTCGCCCATACATAATATTTAGAAATCACAGTATTCTTAGTGTAGCCTCCGACGGAAACTCAAATGGAAACCTTAAAAGTGCCATAGGGTTTCCACAGTCACCGCTATATAGGCATTCTTGACGATGGTATTCGTCTAACATGGTGCTCCTCTGTCTTGATGTTTCACACAGCCGCCGTTACACTAAAAGTGGGATCGGCTGATACAGCAACGACGTGAGCACTATGATATATACATTGCAGCTCTTGCTCATGAGCTCTTGTGACAACTTGATCTGAGGTCACAAGGGCAAAGCTCACAATTGGTCTTAGAAAAACAGAGGCGACGAGGTCATGGCAGTTCTCGAAGTAAGTGTGGTCGGTGCTGCAACGCCCTTCTGCTCGCTCTCGTTTGAATTTCGGTTGTTTCTCTTGGGCAGTGGTTTCTTGGTGACTGCAGGCTTGTAGCTGAATCCGCTGGTCGCTAGCAAGGAATCCTCCAGTCCAGATGTCCAGAATCCAAATCCTGCCGATTGTTCCTTCTTGACATATGGCTTGAATGTCGTTTTACGAGGAACCACCTTGGGTGCTTCTTCTACTTTCTCTTCTTCATCGGATGAGAGTGCCAATATATCTTCCGTAGTCGGATCAAAGGTGAGGACATCCAGATAATCTTGATTAAAGGTGCAATTTTTGGAACGATATACCAGTGGATCAAGGCGACGAGTCGTTGGCTTTTCCTTCTTTTCTTCCAATGATTCCTTGTTCTCTTCGGTGGTGGGCTCCTCAGCAGAGTAGGATGATTCCGCGGATGTCGTGGCGGAATCCTCCTCTTCCGGCTGTCGCGTCTGTCGCAATGGCGTTTTTCTGGGCATTCCAAGTCTCGAGGATTTGTACACCGCAGTTTTTTTCTTATCTGATGCGTCTTCTGTTGGTTTCACTTGCTCCTGACCCATACTACTACCTCCCGATCGCTGAAGAAATTTAGGGGGAGCCGGAGGACGGTAAGTGGGTCCTCTGCGATTCACCCGGTTGGTAAAAGTAGTCCTTTGTGTAGTAGTGGTTGCAGCTGATCTTTGATAAGAAGCCGTAAACGTCTTGGGGATGGAAGAGGTTGTAGATCTTGTAGATCGCGAAGATCGAGGACCCGCCGTAAACGTCCTCGTTGGGCCATCAGTTCGTGGGCGATACGAATTCATCTTTTGTTTCTTTTTCTATTATTCAGAAGTGCTGTGGAAGGTGATTGGTATCTTTGATGCTGATGTAACTGCGGATGTCAATGCAATATCAATATCAGTATCAGTATCAGTATCAATATGAATTGGATTTCTCCGCTTGCTCTTGTTTCAAGTGTGATATTAGAAGTGTTGATTCTTCTCAATTCTAACAGCAAATTCTGTGAAAATTCTTTAGGAGATTTCAGGTAGGTAGATTTAGATTGGTTGATGTTTCCGTTATTCCCAAAGAGTTTATAGCAGATCGTCAGCTATTTTTGTTATCCTTTGTAAGCTAGACTGAAACTAGAGTGAAAGTTTGGTTCCTAATGCCAGAACCAACAAGAATGGCGATAAGATGTTTGCAGTTTTGGAATAATGCTGCATGTCGATTTCTCGCTTCTCACTTTTGTTTTGGAGGCTTCACGTAGACTTGCCGTTCACAAAAGTACTGAATATTCGTATCGGAAAAGGCACGCTAGACTGCGTGGCGTGCTATAAAAGATGTATCTGGCATGCGTAGAATACTTACCAGATTCTACATCTTCAAGATCGAGTCTCCGGTTGGGGCTCTTGGAAAAGGAGTGGTCGCTGGTTTCGCCAAATCCACGTTGCCGCTAAATCTGTTCGAGAAACCGAATGAATCAATCAATCAATCAATCTGAACGTCATCGTATGATCGTATGACGATGATCGTGTGATGATGATGATGCTAAATAATAAAGTCACCAGACGACGGATCCAAAGCTCAACCACTACGTGAGATGCCAGTCAGTAGATGAGCACATTTGGCATCATATTTTATTGGCTCGTTGGGATATTCAACATGGCACTTGAATCAATCGTCGCCATTGTTGAGGTTGCCCCCATTATACCGGGAGTGCAAGAGGAGGCCCTGCTCCTAGCTCGGAGAATGAATGACGAATGTTTGCTGATGGTTGGTGGAAGATGGGAACGATCAGACAAGAAAATAAAACTATCCATGATCACGAAGATGATGTCAATCTCCGGCGTTTGTGAAAGCCATTCAAGATCAAGCTTGAGCTCTTATTAATGGTTTCAAAGCCAATGAAGGAACGAATCCCCTCTTATGAAAACGAAGAAATGACGCACACTACAGGTGGTATTTTTGTGCGGCTGTACTTTGAACTTGCTGCTCTCGTGAATTTACCGCAGATGGCACTATTGCCTCAATGACAAGGGTGCTGCTGGTGAATGGACAGGAAATGGTATTATGGTATTTCTGACGATGACCATTAGTGAGATGGTTTGTTTACGTATCCTTTTGAGGGTACCTATACCATAATACTCGGTTGGCTATGTAGAGGAGCAAATCAATCGACAATCAACTCCATTTTGGTCAAAGTAAAAATGATACAGTAAGAGGGAACAAGAGACAACAAACATATCATCAAGTGAACGATAGATATTATAAGTCAGCATTGGTGAAAGGATGCGACCCTGAGTGTCACGACCCATGTGACATTCAGTGGTCTGCAGGTTTTCGTGTTTCGTGACTCTTCCTTTGCTTCCGTTGGCAGCATTGCAGATAACGTGTCGTTGAACCTTTAGTAGAGACATTTTGTCAAAAGACGGCAGCAGCTCGCGACTGGCAGTGTATCCCTTGATGGTTCCTCCTTGCTACTACTACCTAAGATAGGTTCTTCAACAGAATGATGTGGACCGCCTGCTTTGGCTGCTCTGTCTGCTCTGCTAGGCCGAAAGCGTCCAGCACGTTCCAACATGATTGTTGCGAATTTATTTCATGCGAAACCACAGGGTCCTCAAGAGGTCGGAATACGTTTGAATGGAAAGAAGATTCTTCCAAGTATAGTACATCCAGCGTTCCATTTCCGCCCTTCTTCCCGTAGCATTTGGTTTGTGACGGCGCAAGAACATCTCCATGCTAATTACTACCATGCATGGTAGAGAAACAAAGAAAGTGTTAGCAGGTCTCTCAAGTCGCATACAGTATTGATGAGACTGACTGACTCACATTTGGGCAATCATTCGACGTCTCGCAGGATGCATTTTGCATTGACATTGGTGGAGTTCGCGGTATCCTCGAATCATCTTGCGAATAGACTTTTTGTCTTGGGTTCACAAACAAATCACCTGGAATTTGTGACTGTTTCCTGGAAAAACTCCACTTTGTTTCGATGAAATGCAGTACAGTAGGACTATACTATGTATATGTTTCATTTGTACAGGATAATAGATGACAGCTAAGATGACAGCTTTTTTTAAAAAGTACTTTATAGAATAATACAGATCTAGTTATTATGTTTGGGTGACCTGATGGACAAAATACGAGCATCAGTGGAGACAAGAGCCTCAACTTTCTACTCGGTGTCTTCCATGGACATCATGAGCATTTGGCTGTGATGACTCTCGACTGGTCCCTTGCTGTCAAAGTACCATCCGTCGGAATCGTGAACACCTTCGACCAACTCACAACCGGCGTTGTCGCAGTTGATGAACATGGCAGTAGCGGCGTCTTCTCCATATTGGGCCAAGTGGTGCAACATGTCGGGATCTGAAGTGAAATGAAATGAAATGAAATGAATGTTAGTCATTCGATACGAATTCGGCAGATGCACGTCTGCAAATGCATGCTACGGGCATAGCATTAATAGCACTAGCACTAGCACTTACCCACAACATTGACATCGGTCTTGGAGACGCGACCATTGGGCAAAGAGTTGGGAGAGAAGGCGCTGGCGGCAGCAATGAAAAGGGAGGCAAGGAGGAACTTCATGTTGAATGCTTGTGGTAGTGTTTGGTTTAATTGGAAGATAAATTGAAAGGTAAAAAGTGATCAAAACGATGACTTCGAAGAAAAGTGATGGCTGAATCAGAATGTTGGAAGCAAGAAAGCTTCGAATAATTTTTATTCTTGGCATTCACCCATCCACATTGAACATTCTCAATTCTGGTGTCAAATCAATGCTTACGTCAGCACAATTTCTATGTGTATCCAGGTACAATTTCTACAGAATTCTTGAGAAAATCTTCGAAAATCTTTTCGGATCGTGTTCTTCAATAGAATACAGCTAGCGATCCAATCAAAAGACGAAATCAAAGATACCTTCCTGCAGATCAGGTGAAGAAAGTATATCCGAACCCAGAAGCAGTTCGAACAGATGGCAAAGATACCTTCTCGAAATTGTGATATTCGGAGTATGACACCAATGACAGTCACTACTGCATCCCTCCATCAGCACCACACGAGCAGGTCGACATGCTTTGCGCAGCAATGACACGAGACTCTCGACTTTCCAGATCATTGGCTGAACACGCTCACTTGGCCTGAGTAGTATGGACGTGGCTCCTGGTGCTGGTGGTGGTGAGATCAGTTCGCACCAGCCAAGTTGAAAGAAGTGAGCTGCTCCAACGCAATGCCTGCAGGGACAAATAAGCACACAGGTCTGAATGAATAGAAGTCTCCCTTTGGGAAACTTTGTTGAAGCGCACTATCATTGCGTCGCCTGCTATTTCACGAGGAGTATGCTGGCTGATCGCTCTAACAAAGCGATGAATTCCCACCATTTATCGCAATTCCACAAGTATTATATGTCTTCAACAAAATCTGTAGGAAATGACCCTACCGTATAGATCGATATGATGAAAATCTTTGGTCGAAATTACTACGGTCTGACATCTGAGGCTTGATTGGGATGTCACGTCGTCGTCTTTCACTAAAAAACAAGTAGAGATAAAATACTACAGCAGCTATCGTTCGAGTCAACAGTATTTATATGAAATGTGGATCATTCTGTCTTTTAGTTCGATAGACAATCAATAGCCATTCATGCAATATCCATTCATCGGGATCAAAGTTAGGTAAATTCAGAAGTCTCCGCAAGCTCCAAAGAATTAAAGTCATCTCCCACAGGCCTCTGGCTCCCTCTACGCAACTTGCTGAATCCAAACATGCCAACAACAGCCACAAGCATACCTGCAAACAAACCCTTTACAAATATGGCCGAGGTGGGCTCACTATTAGGGGCGACACTAGAAGAAGCATTTGGAGTCGCTACAGCTGCTTCCATGTAGGAAGCACCACCGCCCTCCTTGCCAACGTGCTTCTCTTGGTGCGATGCAGCAATGTCCCAGATCAACAAATCTTCAGCAGGGATACAGGTTTGACGAAAGGCTTCGTATCGATCGACAAGATCGTCCATGCCAGAGTCCACGGCCGTCTCTTTGCATTTTTGTGCCATCGGTGGATTCCAAAAAGGAGGCGGGATAGCCATGACCAGTGAAGGGTCATCGTAATCAAATATGCATTTGTTGCGAATCTCCTTGCAATTCGTTGCAGTAATTTTTTGAGGAAGGCATTTGTTCAGCATGTCAAGTTCCTCCGAAATCGAGTCTTGTAGCATGGGCATTAGGATGTCTTGGGCGCTGCCATAAATACAGGAAAAGGAGCTGAGCCAACTCCCTACAATGGGAATGGGCCACTCATCCAACGTGCACATTGGCAATTTGCCTGCCAGCTCCGAAAAGCACTTTTGTTCACGCCCGGGGAACTCTTCCGCATATAAGAACGCTTGTCCAAAAGGATTATTGCCGACCAACGCTTCAACACAACCTTGGGGAACTCTTGGGAGTGGAGATTCCTTGGCCTTTAGCTGCTCCATATCTTCCGTTCCCATGCCAATGCCATCCAATTCGTTGCTGACAGTGACTGCATACGATCCACAATTCAAAAGTAGTCCAACATACATGCTCGCAAAGTTTTCAATGAGCGCCCTTAGGTCGAATCCAGCGCAAGTCTCAAAGCTAGTCAAGGCATTGTTGAAGGTAGTAGCTTGTTGGGCGTTGCAACCAACATTCACATCTGCAAAGGGGTCAGCCGAAAGCTTCTCCAAATCAATATTTTTAAGGCATTGGCCAAACATCATGGTCATCATTTCGGTCCCAAAACCACCTTGGACAAGAATAGTGGTAGACGAAGAAATTTATTAGATGAAATTGAGAAGTAATGGCTTGGTGACACGGTCCACACGGTCCAGGACTCTAACAATTCAAAGCAACTTACCCATGGCAGATAAGAAGTCATCCCCCTGGTCCATCCCACCAAATGGATTTCCTCCAGAGGATGATGGGTCGTCGAGCCCACCACCAAAATCGCCAAATCCAGCGGTTCCATCTCCGTCAAATCCACCCAAGTTTCCGAAACCATTTTGCAAGTCAGAGCCATTGCCATCGAGCCCACCACCATCTCCATCTAGTTGATCCAACTCTCGACGAAGCATGGATTCCGAACTATCATTCCGTAGTTCTGCTTTGTGGAAGAACCCTGCCTCACCGCTCGCAAAAATGGCAAGCAGAAAGAACACTGTAGCGTTCTGTCGAATCATAGCTCTTTTCTGATGTTATATGATGATGATGATGATGATGATGATGATAATGATAATGATGGGCGGAGATACGAAAGAAGACAGCGGACAATGTACGTTGGAGAGGCACTATATATGGTTCGTTGTTGATTATTTGGGATGATGATGAAGCGCGATAGTTTTGATTCCTGTCCGCATATCAAGTGATGGGAACACTCCTTTTCTCCTTTCGCCATGTCTCAACGAAAAAAGTCTCGTCTTGTTGATTAGACTGCTGACTGACTGACTGACTGACTGACTGACTGACTGACTGACTGACTGACTGACTGACTGACTGACTGACTGACTGACTGACTGACTGACTGACTGACTGACTGACTGACTGACTGACTGACTGACTG